GGAAGTGTAATCCAGAAAAACCCACAAATAATAGATTTGATATAGATTTTGATATCCCAAAAAGGATTTTCGAATCGATTCTCACACCGCAGTTTGAGAACCATTTAGCAAACGAGATTGACGCTTTTGAGAAAATTTGTAAGAAGTCAATTCCAAAACATAACACGGAAGGCGTGATGGATGCTAGATTTTTCGCAATGGCCAGAATGAGAACTGGGCGAACGGTGATTGAGGCACTACAGGACCCCAAGATCTCTCGAGGCCCCTTGGTCACATCCACCGCGGCATGCACAAAGATCGCCAGAGATTTTTATCAGGAACTCTTTACATCTACTTGCTGGCACCGGCCTGATGATCTGCGCAAACTAGAAATCGAGGAATTCTTAACCCCACTAAAGAGATCTCCCACAACCCAGCAAAGAGATGCGCTCGATACCCCCATATCAAAAGAAGAAATCAGGGCAGCGCTACAGCAAATGGAGGAGGACAAAACCCCGGGTATCGACGGCTTACCAAAGGAATTCTGGGAAACCATGTGGCCGACCATCTCACAAGACCTTATGGACTTCTACCATGGGGTCTGGGCCACCGGTAGGATGAGGGAGTTCTTGGGACAAGGTGTGCTAACACTCCTTTACAAAAAAGGCGACCACACTAACATCCGGAACTATAGACCCATTACGCTGCTCACAGTAGTCTACAAGTTGAAAGTCAAAGCCCTGACCAACCTTATGGAACAAATAATGGTAGACATCATTCATCCGGACCAGTCGGGCTTCATCTAGGGCAGGGACATACAAGATAACATCCTCCTCGTTAATGAAATGATCAAATTAACCCGACAGACCTGAAACAATGCAGCCATAATCTTCATAGATTTCGAAAAGGCCTACGACCATGTTGATTGGTATTTTCTCGACAAATGCCTGGAAAAACTAAATTTCGGGCCGCAATTTCGATGTTGGGTCCAAATTCTACACACTAACGCGGAAACCCGGGTCATGGTAAACAACAACTTGGCCCCGCCCATTGCGCTACAAAGGTCCGTCAGACAAGGGGATCCGATCACCCCCTACCTGTTTGTGATCATTATGGAAGCGTTAGTGGCTAACTTGAGGGCCCACAACGATATCAAGAGAATTCGAGTATCGGCAATACCCGAAGAAGCCATCCCGGTCTGCTCACTTTTTGCTGACGACCTGGCCTTGATGGTTGATGCAACAAAAGAATCAATGGAAGGCATCCAAAGGATGATGGACCGCTTCTGCCAGTTGTCAGACATGAAAGTAAACTGGGGCAACAAAACCCAGGGTTGGTGGATCCACCACCAAGGAGTGAGGCCCCCGGAACAGCCGCGACTGAGCTGGCTCCCTGAAGAGGCCCCAATAAGAGTCCTTGGTATCTCCATGACGGCTCAAGGCAGACCCTCCACTAATCACGCATGGATCATGGCCCCCCCCCTGGCAAAAATGGCAGCCTGGAAAGACAAGTACACCTCGCTTTGGGGYCGTGCCCTTGTAATTAAYAACGTCGTTCTGGCCTCAATGTGGTATAAGTCCGCAATCTGGGCACTGGACAAAAAAGACCTCCGCCCCCTACAACGCCAAATAGCTGCCTTTTTGTGGAGAGGGGATCATGACAGATAAAATGTAATCAGTCGGGTGGCATGGCACTCCATCACCCTGCCCAAGCCAAAGGGCGGGCTGGGGATCATTGACCCGCTCACACAGACAAAGGCACTGGCTATACAATGGATCAAACGACTTATATTCAATGATGACTCCCCCTGGAAAGGCTTGGCCCTGGAACAAATATCCAGACTGGCCCCCACAACAAAAAGCGGCATAGACCCAGTAATGTGGCTAGAAAATCGTAGCTGGCCCATACCAAGAGCGTCCCGGCAACCGGGCCCCCGCCCAGCCACGCCCAGACAGTCTCTCAGGGACGACCTGGCCAAGGACCCCTTCTGGGCCAACCTTCTCGATACCTGGAGAAGCCTCCCCCTCCCGGACAAAATATCACCAGACAGAGGGGAGGAGGTGGCCCGCCAACCCCTTTTCGACAATAGGTGGATAACAGACACGAATGGCCAAGCCCTCCACTGTATGGACTCACCATGGCACAGATGGGTGAAGAAAGGGGTCACAAGAATACAGGATATATGTGATCCGGAAAAAGCGGACTGGATCGACCCCAACCTGCTGCGGGAGAAGCTGCGATACTGTCACCACCCCCAAGCGGCCCTGGAAAGGCTGACAGAACTGATCCCTCTAGGCTGGCTAAGAATTCTACGTAGGGGTCCGACTCTGCAGGAAAATGATTGGGTTGCTAGCCCGGGCACTATGGGGTGGGTGGGCAGAGGGGCCGCTTTACACCCCAATGGATCTGTAACACTGGATCGCTTCCTGCTACGAAAAGATAACATTATCCACAGCGACACCGATGAACCAACGTCCGTGCACCCAAAAGCAGACCTCTTTCGTATCAGGGTGCTCCAAGAAACCAACAATGGATAGCGTTTCGGCCGTCCACCCCGGTTCAGCAACTGCCTCTGGACCCTGTGGAGTGGACTTGGACCTCTCAAGGATGGAAAGGCAAAAACTTTACTAAGACACTCTATGGATTAACGGTAAAATCAACATACAGGCTCCTGCGACCCAAAACTAACCTCACCGATCAAGTGAGGGAGCGATGGATATCTCACCTAAATATCAGGCAGGCGGAAATAAGACCGGTCAAGTGGCTTAGACTGGCCAAGGTGAAACCTGCCAAGATTGCGTCGCTTCAATGGCAGATAGAACACCGTTGCCTGCCATCCAGCAACTGGCTAATCGACAGGACAACGCTGGAGCAAAGAGGCCTGGCGCTCCCCTGGTGCAAACTATGCACTAATGCGTATCCGGCCCGTAAACACCCCGAAACGATAGAGCATATCTTTTTACAGTGGATGTGGAGGTGGTGGGACCGAATCTGGAGCCACTTGGGCACGGACTCGCCCTGGCCCTGCGAGTGGAAGGCATTACTCTGCGAAGCCTGGCCTGGGAGTCTGATGCAGCACCCAAATGAATTCACCACCAACATGTTCACATTGGGATGAAGAGCGCTTCTCTGGGCCCTGTGGCGCCGATGCTGCACCTATGCACTGGAAGGGGTGAGACTGGAGGGCCCAGAATTCACCGAAAGTGTGATAACGCAGATCCAAACTGAAATACTGGCCAATTGGGACACGGTTAAGTCTAAAATCCAGAACCTGCAAACACTAAAAGACATCAAACACAAAATACAAGAATTCAGCTCTAACTGGCTGGGAGGACCCGAGGGAGGAAGAATTGGGAAGGTGGAATGGAAAGTAGAGACAAACGAGAGTCAACAGGGGGCAGCAATAAAAAGCAGCTACCACCTACTATTCAATGACTGGGCTAAGCTGGAGGCAGGCATCCCCCTCAAACCCCCTGAAGCATTTCCCGACCCTTTCCCCCCCCCATCCAACTGTCTGGTAGGGATGCAGTGGTATGGTAAGTAGAGGGACACGAGAGAAAAGACAGAGAAGTCCRSCCTRGACCACTCTAGTACAACACACTAATCTGGCAGCCGCAAGGCTGAGAGGAGTCGGTTCAATCATGGGTGGTTCAACTCAAGCAGGGGTGAGGGGAGGCACATCCTTCCGTAAGGAAGCAATCAATGCATCCCACTCGGGCCTCCCAACCAGAATGGGGAGGAGCGTGCGTGTGTACTATGTATGTTTCTCAAGACTTGCCGGTGGAATAGGAACCGGACTGTCGCTCCCCAGAATGGCAGGAGCCGGAACCGCAAGGTTCTGATCTTTCGCTGAAAAAAAAAAAAAAAAAAAAAAAAAAAAAAAAAAAAAAAAAAAAAAAAAAAAAAAACAGAAGCATCCACAGAGTCAACCCGCCATATACACGTTGGAGAGCTTCCCTCAGCAGGCTTCAACCCCTCCCTGAGCACCTCAAGCCAAACAGGCGAAACAGCCTGTGGTAGTGTGAGTGTGCCCTCAGTCAGGGCATCTCAGCCCCTTGGCCAGGTTGTCAGATTCCAGAAACACAAGACAAGACAAAAAAAACAGAGGCGTGAAAATGGCTGGATACATTCCTCTAAGAGGCTCGCCACACAGGCTGTAGAATGTCGAAAATTTTTGACAGGTGTCAGAAAATTTTCGACGGTTGGGCGGTCGACAATGTCCCCCCCCTTTGCCACACAGACTGTCGAGGGGCAAGGTTTTTGGTCATGGCCAGGCGGACGGGTTTCCGGAACAGTCCCTGACACGCAAATTCGAATGCAATTTTTGAAAGGTCGGCGGGNTAAACATCATCAACTACTTCGGAGTTACTAATTGAGAAATCATCACAGAAGAAAGCAAAAGTGGGATTTTTTTTTTTTTTTTTTTTTTTTTTTCAGTTGAAAGCCGACCGTATATGGACTTGGCTCACCTATATCACCAAACAGAGTAGACGCATTGATTACTTCAAACCCAGGGAAAGGATTGACCTCCTGCTTGTAAAAGAGTTGAGGGTTAGGAAGATAAGAGGCAATCAAGGCAAATCATCGCAGAGCTATTATCTATCCTATCCCCACCCGGCACCAGAAGAGAAAACACGATTCATCATGAGAAAACACCGGGTAGGGGTGGGGGGGAACCATAAATCTTACCTCCAACCTGAAACCCCACTTCACCAGCCGCAACAAACCACGAATTCTCCCCCACTGTACTGATGGCGGCATCTTTCCCATGATGCTGATAAGGAGCTTGGATGCGAAAGCCCCACTCCCTGCCCCTCTGGCCCCATGGTTATTGCCGCCACCGTCGTCGTAATTGTTCTCGTTCTTGTTGCTATTATTGTTGCCATTGTTGTTGTTGTTGTTGTTGTTGTTTTTGTTGTTGTTGTTGTTATCACCATCGTTGTTGTTGACAGTGTCATCCTTCCCCCGCTCCTCACCCTATACCCCGTCGAGTCCCTGATCACCATCATTGTTCTCGTTACTGTTGTTGATGGTGTTGACGCCGTTGTTCTTATTGTTGTTGTTTTCCTCCTTCACGCCCGTCTGAGCCAGTTCGCTCAGTCACCGCTCGCCGTCGTTATTGTTGTTGTTGTCGTTGTTATTGTCACCCATCCCACCCTTCTTGTCAACCGCACCCTTTCCTTGCCTGTCGTCGTCACCCATCCCACCCTTCTCGTCAATCTCACCCCTTCCTTGCCTGTCATCTACCACAACCACTACGTCAGCCCTACACCCCTGTTCCACCTCCAGTATTGTTGATGTTGATATTGTTGTTGTTACTATTGCTGTGTTCGCCCTTGCTTTTGCCGTTGCCGCCGCCGCTGCTGTTGCCGCCGTTTCCACCGATGCCAATAGCCCCCAGTCCCCTTCCCACGCACCTGCATTACCATTGCCAACTAACCTCTCATCATCAACCTCCCACTCACCTACATCATCAGTGGCATAATCCCGCTCTCCATCACCTGCGGCACCCTCATCCTCTACCGGATAGGAGAGTGCCATCAAGCTAACCCACCTCTCTCCTGCCCCCCCCTCATGCTCGTCACTCTCACATACAGCAACATCACAGCTCGTCTCACTGTCGAAATCCCAGCTCTCACACACAGCGCAGAGGTTTGTAAGGTAGCGGGACATGTCAAAATCATCATCCTGCTCACCTTTAGTATCCTCTGCAAGCAAGAGGTCGTCTTCATTATAAGGGATCATATCCTCTAGTGGAACTGCTCCCCGTTGTAGCTCCCCCTTCATCTCCATCCCACACCCAGATTGATGCACCATCTATTGCTATTCGTCGTCGTACTTCACCGCTGGCGCTACCCCTGCCCGCGCGTCGTGGACGCACACGTCTTCTACAGCGGATGCCACGTGGCAATCAAAGAGCCCCACGCTTCTGTCGGGCACACGTGCAGGCCTAGCAGCCTAGGAGCACACCTCCCCAGGCGCTAGTCGAGCCGAGGGAATAGGGCCTACCCGGTCCATCGGCGTCAGGGCGCTAGCGTTAGCGCAACTTCTCCTCCGCTCATCTTATGCTAATTGTCTTGAGGGATTCATCCTCCCAATCAAACATAAGGATCAATCAACTCTAAATTCAAATCAGATCTTTTTTTTTCTTTTTTTTTCTTTTTTTTTTTAACCCTCCATTGCTAGTGGCGCTGATAAGAGCGGACACCACTAGCACCTGGGGAGTGGCTCCATCTATTGGTGGCGAGCATCACCTGCTGGAAAGCGGGTCCAGCGTCCCTTACACAACCTGAAATTGGATACATCTGAGAAGCAATTGTGGGAGAATTCCTGCCAGCATTGATTGCCCTGTGCTCCAGGGGATTGACTGAGCAGAATGTTAGGGGGAAAGGGGAACCTCTTCATCCGGAAACCTGGCGCCTAATACATCACTGCATACTAGTTCCTCCGCAGGAAACCGGGTCCAGTGTCCCATAACCTGCCTAGGTGCCATGAAGAAGGAGCTAGAAAGAGCCACTGGGGGGCACCAGTGGGATCTTCTTTCGTCCTTCTGACATTATTGCCATTACTAACGCCTGAAGCGCTAGAACCTCGTTCAGATCGAAATCAAATCAAAATCAGAAGTAGTAATTATTTGAGTATGAGCTTTCATGTTGATATGGATCAAAAAGCAAAAACCATGTTATTATCACGAAGATCATTAGCAACAGCTAACAAAAAACTGCCGAGATCATCACTATTAAAAATTGAAAAACCTCCTCCCCCACTTCCTCAACACCCACCTTCTTGTCACCTTTCCCCTCAAACCCTACCCCACCGTCTTCGGGGAAAGAGGAACACACCTCCTCCCACTGCTAGCCACTAGGCATCAAAGTGATGCTAACACTGAAGACAACAATGGCCCTCTTCGACCCCCCCAAGGATCAGAAGACAGTGCGGCACCACCTCGACAAACCTTTCAGCGAGTCATCACAGGGGGTTCAAGCCATCCTAAACATCCATTCACCACACTATTGGGGAAAGGGGGAAGAGATCAAACCCATAGCCCGCTCTGAGTCACCGCCACAGCCCTCTATTCGCCTTTGTCATCCTTCGATTCTAATCTTGGCGGTGTCCATCTCTTTATATGTATTATTAGCTTCCTCCGCGGTGTTTTGTCCTCGCAGTTCACCGAACAGCCCACCTCAGCTTCGACGATATGAAAACTCGGTCATACCTCAATCCTCCTATTCTCAATACAGGCTTAACAATGACTGGCCCGACCCCTCCATGGTTGGCAACGTGGAGCACCTTTCCATTCACCCACCGCCCGCTCCCTCACAAAAGCCCCCATCACTACTTCGCGTTCAACCGCCCTCACCACCAACCTTAGCTCCCCCTTCCGCACCCCTTCCCGAATGCCTCCCGTGTCGCTTCAACCGGTCGTCCGCGTTGACTCTCCTGCGGTGTCGCTTCAGTGAGGCCAGGGCCACAGCGCTCCCGGTCAGGCTGCGCCCCTCCGGTGTCGAGCGTCCGATCGATCGATCGACGGAGAGAGAGAGAGAGAGAGAGAGAGAGAGAGAGAGAGAGAGAGAGAGAGAGAGAGAGAGAGAGAGAGAGAGAGAGAGAGAGAGAGAGAGNGAGAGAGAGAGAGAGAGAGAGAGAGAGAGAGAGAGAGAGAGAGAGAGAGAGAGAGAGAGAGAGAGAGTTTGGCGATAGCCGTCCGTCGGCCAGAAGTACGGTGACGAGGATGACGAGACCGGCGTCGTTGTCCTTCCCTCTGTTTCTTTATATGTTTGTTTATTGATTTGTTGTTTTTTCCATTCGTGTTTTCATGTTTAGGAATCAATCAATCAGTCAATTAATCAATCAATCAATCAATCGATCTTGATCGATTGATTGAAAAATAAAACGAAAAGGTAAGAAAGAGGGGAGGCAACGGTTGTTTTTCTTTTGTTTTATCAAAACCGCGAGGGGCCGAAAAGGCCTGGTGGGAGGGGGAAGAGAAGGGGGAGGAATAGGGGGGGCGAGTGAAGGGCGGACGCGGCGGGGGGGGGGGGGGGGGGGTTGGGGGGCGGGGGGGGGGGGGGGGGGGGGGGAGGGGCGGGGGGGGGGAGAGAGAGAGAGAGAGAGAGAGAGAGAGAGAGAGAGAGAGAGAGAGAGAGAGAGAGAGAGAGAGAGAGTAATCGTCCAATGTTGAGTTACTGCTTTCTTCAGATTCCGATGAGCTAGAAGAGGAAACTCTCGCCCTTCTGCTGGTCTTCTTCCTTTTGGAGGTCTTGCGTGTCTTTTTTTTTTTTTTTCTCCTATGGGAATCTTGCTTGCCTGGTCTGAGGAAATCTTGGCGCTCGTATGTTTGGTTAATGTGTGTGTAACCTCTCTCGCCTTCGCCGCCACTTCTTCCTGTTGTTTCCTCCACTTCTCAGTGTTTTCTGCTTGCAACTGAAGCCACATTTCTTTCGTCCTCAGCGCTATGCCATCTTCTCTCTTCCTCTCTTTCTCATCTTCTGCTCTTTGTCATTCTTTCTCCTTGTCTTGTTTCCGTTTCTCCTCCCTTTCCTTCATGAGGTCTTGAAGGTGTGGATTTCGTCTTCATGTTGTGTAGGTCTTCCTCGTCTCGACCAGCAATCTCGTGCCATATGACCGCTCTTGCCACACTCGTAGCAAACAAGACCACCTTACCCTCCTTCCCAATTTTCGTTGTTACCGATGAAACCATTCCCTCCTCCACTCCGAGTCATGTTGTTCCCGTTACTACCACCATTGTTATACATCTTTGCTCCTTGTGTATAAACCTATCGCTAAGTCGAACTTGCACAGTTTCGTTACAACAAAATCTCACGTCTGTCGTAGACTCTTAAATCTTCTAAGTTTTTTCGATCTCCTCTACGTCCTGGATATCCTGCGTGGTTCCGTTACGTTTAGGCTCTCCCCATCTATCGTACTTCAAAGTCTCTAGATTCTTGCGATCTCCTCAACCTCTAAGCGATCGATTCTTTGTCTGGACCTCAGCGCGCGCAACATCCTGGAGATTCTTGCCATAATGACCTTGGTTCTTGGATTAGTGATAAATCTCGCTGTAGCAAACACCCGTCTCAATGTTCTTCTGACGTAGTTATCCAGGATTTGCATCAATCTGGCCCTATCAGTCGTCCTTGTACCCCTCCCATTCCTTCTCACCTGTCCATACATTTCACAGAAAAATGGCATGTTCGTAACTATGCTGCTATCCCAATGATTATCAGACCTATCCCAATCAAAACCAAATGTGCTCTACTAACGTGACTTGTACCATTCTCCTAGAGTCCTACTAACTCTCATCTGGACTCCTTTCAACTAACGTAAATCCCTGTCTAATCGTAGCTTACTCGTAAAAAACACAGAGCCACTGTTAAGCACCGAGAAACCCGGTTACTGTGTTTTTGACGGTGATGTCTTCAGCACGTTTTGTGGAGATGGAGGGCGGCGACAGTGACAAGCGTGGGAAGTCAACGACGACGGAGAGGACGGTAGTGGCAGCGGTCGTTACCACGGTCCTCTTCCGTTGTCAGGTGGAGAGGACGGTGGGGAGAATGAAAGCGGATATCCGCGTGCGGGGGAGGAAGACGACGCAGTGTATGGCGGGGAAGAGTTGTACACCGCCGCCATCTGCAATGCCTTCCTTCAGGTGTGCTGCACCTTGGGTTGCGGAGTTCTTCCCTGAGTGACGCCCATGTGGTGAATGAAAAGAAGGACCGGGGGCACATGGGAGGATCTGCGGCAATGTCACAACACGACAGAGGATTACTTTCGGGACAAGTTGCACATGTCGCCACGTGTCTTCCGGGAGATTGCGGAAGCTTTGTCGCCCTTCTTGTAGTGGCATGTGACGTTCTGCAAGGAACCGTTGCAGCCTGATCAGATCGTCGCCTACGCGTTGTATCGGTGGGCATCGGGGGAGACGTACGAGAGCAACAAGTGTAACTTCGTCATCAACAAAGCTTCAGGTTCGGTGGTGGTGCGGACGTGACTACGGTGTTGTTGGTGGTCTACCGTGAGAACATATCATGGCCTACAAGGGTGCGCAAGTCGGTTTTCCTTTGTACTTTCGTTAACAAGGGTTTCCCGAACTTCCATGGGTGCATCGACTGCACTCATGTATACATCGACAAGCCAGCGAACGCCCCCAGCGAGGACTACTACGATCGGAAATAATGTTTCTCGATCATTGCGCAGGTTATTGTCCATCTGAACTTGCATGTGCTGGACGTCTTCGTCGGCTATCTAGGAAGTTGCCATGACGTGAGGATCATTCACCTCTCGAGTCTATGGGCGCGTGCCGAGGTCGGGGAACTTTTCACGGGACCGTCTGTGATGCTCCCCTTTACCATCCTGACGAACGGCTACCTATTGGGCAACAATGGTTACCCACCGTCCGAATGGATAGTTGTTCCCTATGGCTGCACTACTCATCACCCGTCGGAGATGCGACTCGACAACAAAAGAAGACCGCGAGGGGGGCAATTGAGAGGGCTTTCAGCAGACCGAAGGGGATATGAAGGTTGTTCCTCCGGTCACACAAGACGAACATAGAGACGTTAACGCAGCAGTTCATCGTTGTCTACATTCTTCACAACGTACTCATCAATGCGGGCATCCCATTTGACGACAATCTATTGTGGGAGGTGGATGCAAACGGAGTGCGTCGTCGTATGGATATCGAAATCCAACGTCCCTTGAGGTCGGTGTGCATGGAGAGCTTGACGGGAGATGCGCTAATTCTAAGGGACGCACTCGCAGAGAGGATGAGTGGTCAGTGACGACGATCGACTGTGGAGTGATTGTGACAGCTGCACCGGAGGCGAAGGTCGTTCACCATGTTGGTTTTGAGA